TGCGAACGTAACGAGTTGCGAAGTTGCGAAGTTGCGAACGTTGACAGCTTTAGCTCATGGCGTTGCGAACTTGCGAAGCTCATGAGTTGCGAAGTTGCGAAGTTGCGAAGTTAAGTAGCTGCGACGTTGCGAAGTTGCGAAGTTAAAGAGTTGCGAAGTTGCGAAGTGGTAAGCTTTCGCGTGGGTTGGACAAGTGTTGCGAATGTTTGGTCGACCGCCGCAATGTGCGAAAAGCTTGCGAAGGATGCGCGAACGATTGCGTCCATGTGCGTCAGACACAGGGACACATGAACCCCCCCAGGCCGTGATGTGTGATTGCTGGTCTGTCTAGGGCGACATGTGCTATGATCAAACGTCTCAAAGCCTAAGAACGCCCCCGCTACCCCCGTGAGAGAATATGCCAAGACTGTAAGCTCCTCGTCGCCGCGTCCTCTCATGAGTCAGTGTGTCATCCTGCGTCCTTCTCCTCCTCGACGCGTCCTCCCTTTCCCCGCGCAACTTTCGTGGCTCGGAGCGCTGTGCCCGACGCGACGACCCCCTATCCCGAGGCATTAATCGCGATGCCAGTCAAACGCAAGCCTACTGGGACGCCGTCTTCGGGCCAGCCTGGGCTTCTCACGGGGGACAAGAAAGTGAAGACGGAAGGTGGCGAGGTTCTCTCTTGTTCATCTCTCGTATGCTTGCTATCTCTTTGCGAATTGTGGCCCAAGACTTACATCTAGTTGAGTTGCTATAGCAGTTCTTCCATGTACATGCCAGGCTTTCGTGTCATCCTTGCCACGCTATGTGGCGCAACGACCGCTATGCGATTTACGGCGATGCCCCTCACCCATTCGAATGACAAGACGGGGGGTGCGACTCAGCCATGTGGGTCTGTGGTTTCTATGGCTGCAGTCGGGCATTCCCTAAAGCTCGAGCTCGATCGACGGCCGACGATGAGAATGCCAACGACGACATTTGGCCAGTACAACACCGATACGAACCACTCACCGACGGTTCTATCTGCCGAACTCCCCCGCCTCATGCTATACTTTGCTCACGCCCCTCCCAGTTCAGATGTGCATGAGCGTCCGTGGGCCTCCAGAGGCACTCAAGGGCGTCCGTGAGCCTCCAGGGTGGGGAGGATGAGGAAACGGATGAGGAGTACTAGGCGGATGAGGAGTAGGAGGACGAGTATTCCCCCCGAGTCTCCGATATTCTGGGATGCATTTCTCAGATGGCCTCCAGTGGATTGTTCGCATACGCTCGGTGAATTCGTCGAGGCCCGATGGGCGTTGAGGAGGCGGATGAGGGGGGGATAGGATGCGGAGGAGGATGATGATGACGAAGCGGAGGATGATGATGATGCGAAGGAGGAGGAGGAGGAGGCGGATGAGGAGGATGAGGAGGAGAATGAGGTTTTTTGGGATGTTTGTTGGCACTCTCTCAGGCTCCAGCATCGCCGGCGGCGAGTTCGACGGCAGCGAGTTCTGCAGCGACCTCAGTGGTGAAGAGGGCCCCCGTGAAGGCCCCGAGGATGGGGCCGCCTGTGAAAGGCGCCCCGATCATGAAAGCCTTCGCCGCGGCAAGTGCAATCGGAAAGGCAAAGGCTCCAGCGTTGCCAGGGCCAGGGACGGTGAAGTCTAAAGGGCCATCGACGAAGCTCCCGTCGGCTCCGAAGGCAACATCGGCGACGACACCTGCAGCTGTGAAGGCACCCGCAGCGGTGGCGGCACCCACAGCGGTGAAGGCACCAGCACTGCTTCAGCTGCTACCCAAGCCGCCGCCCACGCCGAAAGCCGAGGCGGCATCGGCGCCAGCGGCGCCGCCGCCGCTGCCGCCATCTCCCGCGGGGTCGCCGCGGCCGCCAGCAATGACGCCCCCGTCCAAGGCCACGCCGTCGTCTCCAGCGGGCCCCCCTGCAGCGCCGACGCAGCCGCCATCTGAATCGAAGGCAGGACTGAAGAGAAAGAAGAAACGTTCGAGGACTTCAGCGACGCCGCTGGCAGCACCAGCTCCCTCGACACCCGTTCCAGCCAGTGCTGCGAGCACTGCAAGTCTGCAGTCGCCAGCGCAGCCACAAGAGGGCCAGTCGCTGGCCGCGGCGCTCAGCCCTGAGCAGCTGGGCCAGATCTTCGGGGCCGCCGCGATGCACAACAACTGCAGCCTCCAAGACATCTTCCGCTCTCTCGGCTTCGAGGCCACCGCGCCCGCGATGGCCGAGCCCGTCGGTGCCCCGGGAGGTGCCGCTGCTGATGAGCCTGGTGGTGAGGATGCCGCTGTAGAGGCCGCTTCGGCCGCGATGGACGCTGCAGAGCAGACGGCTGAGCTGCCCGAGGATGGGGCTGACAAGGGAGAGGAGGAAGTAGCCTTCGAGGAGGAGGAGGACGAAGAGGACGACGGTGACGAGAGTGAGGAGGAGGATGCGGCGGAGGAGGGCGGCGAAGAAGAGAAGGATCCAGGTGCAGCCGACCCGCCCGAGGATGATAATGGCGACGGTGATGCTGCTGCACCGCCCGACGCGGAGGGCGAGGAGAGCGAGAGCGGAGAAGATGAAAGCCAGGAGGAAGACGAGGAGGAGGAGGAGGATGCGACTGACGCCGTGGGAACGGCGGAGAAAAAGACGGCAGGAGCGGCGGCGGCATCGCAGAAGACAGGAGCGGCGGTGGCATCAAAGAAGACAGGAGCGGCGGTGGCATCAAAGACGACAGGAGCGGCGGTGGCATCAAAGAAGAGAGGAGTGGCGCAGGCATCAAAGGATGCAGGAGCGGCGGCATCATCGAAGAATCGAGCTGGAGCGAACTTGGCAAAGCTGAAAAAGAAGAGCCAGCAGGCAAAGCTGGCCGCCGCCTCGCAGGGCAAGTGCAACTCAGCAACGCACAAGAAGGAGTGGGACAGGCTCTTGGGTATTCGATAGAGGGGCGGGTTTCAGCTGTTCGGCGAGTTCAGTTTTACCTTTGAGGTTTCGGTCTGTGCTTGAAATGGCACCACCACCCCAATCTCAGATGCCTCTGGACATTTGTGAAATCGTAAATAAAGAACGGATGGGGACATGCCCTTCTCCTCCTCCGCCTCCTCCTGACCCCGTCTCCTCCCCACCGATCCATCAATCGGGGTCTGG